CTGCAATTCATACGAGCAAGGATATACTAGACTATGTACACACTGATGTATGGGGGCATTCACCAATCAAATCCAAGGGTGGGGCAAAATACTTCATGTCCTTCATTGATGATTACTCAAGAAAGGGCTGGATCTACTTCATGAACACAAAAGTGAAGCATTCACGAAGTTTAAATAATGAAAAATGGACGTAGAAAGGAAGATAAGAAAGAACTGAAATGCTTGAGATCAGAAAATGGAAGGAAGTACAAGTCTAGAGAATTTCAAGAATTCTGTAAAGAATAGGGGATTGTACGTCACTTTACCAGACCAGAAACTCCTCAGCAAAATGGTGAGGCTGAGAAGATAAACAGAACTTTTTTGGAAATACTTTTAGTATTAGATTGAATGCATATTTGAAAAAAAGTTTCTGGGCAGAAGCAATTAACATGGCATGTTTCATCGTTAACAGGTCAACATCTATAACGATTGATTGCAAAATTCCAGAGGCGATGTGGACATGAAAGTCGGTAGATTACTCTATGCTGAAGATCTTCAGATGTCCAGCCTATATCCATGTGTAAAGTGAGAAACCTTCCAAATTAGACTCTAAGTCTAAGCAATGCATCTTCTCGGTTTTGAGAAGGGAGTGAAGGGATTCAAGCTTTGCGATCCTACTTCACATAAAATTGTGCTGAGTAGGGATGTTATGTTTGATGAATCTTACATAGTGACGTCAATCAACCTGCAAGATGACAAAGTACAAGTAGATGAAAGTGATGAAGAAAGATCGACAGTTCAGGTGGAGCTAGAAGAGTCTGAAACACCAGAAGAGGAAAAATCATCTAGCAGTATACCATAATAACAACAATCACATGGTGAACCCTACAATTTGGCAAAAGGCAAAAAGAAGCGTATTCACAAAGCTCCTGTGAGATACGGCTTTGAGGACATGGTAGCCTTTGCTCTAATTGTTGGTATTGGGAAATCGATTCTTTTGGAAACGCTCTAAGTGAAGCCCAGAGACAGCCATGATGGAGGAGATGGAGTCTTTGAAAAAGAACAAGACTTGGGAAATTGTCAAGAGGCCCAAGGGAAAGAAAGTGATAGGGTGCAAGTGGATCTTTCAGAAGAAAGAGGCAACAACAGAAAAGGAATGTGAGAGATTTAAGGCTAGGTTTATAGCGAAGGGCTACGCTCAGAAGGAGGGAGTAGACTACAATGAAATATTATATCCGGTTGTCAAGTACACTTCAATAAGGCTATTACATGCTTTAGTAGTCATGTTTGATTTGGAGCGAAAACAACTTGACGTGAAGACAATGTTTCTTCATAGTAATTTGGAGGAACAAATCTTTATAGAGCAACCTGAAGGCTTCAAGATGCATGAAAAAGAAAATCAAATTTGCTTGCTCAAGAAATCACTTTATAGTCTTAAGCAAATCTCTTAGGTAGTGGTACAAGCGCTTCGACTCTTTTATGGTGCAGATTGGCTATTCAAGAAGTGAGTATGATTGTTGTGCTTATTTTAAAGTTCTTAATGATAATTCTCTTATTCTCTTGATGCTTTATGTTGACGACATACTCATCGCTGCCAAGAATGCATGTGACATAGCTTCTCTCAAGTTTATGTTAAGTTTTGAGTTTGATATGAAGGATCTAGGGGCTGCTAGTAGGATCATTGATGTGAAGATTCATAGAGATAGAAGTATAGATAAACTCTAGGTAACTCAGAAAAGGTACGTTGAAAAAGTGCTGGAGCATTTTTCTCAAGTCTATGTTAAGTTATGATCCTTGGTATGAAGATTCTAGAGATAAAAGTGCAGGTATACTCTAGGTAACTCAAAAATGGTATGTTGAAAATGTGCTGAACCGTTTCAACATGGAAAATGCCAAGTCAGTTAGCACTCCATTGGCGATTCACTTCAAGTTATCTAAACGGCAGTGTCCCACTACGGATGAGGAGATAGAGCAGATATCTCTAATGCCCTATGTTAGCGCAGTTGGAAGCCTCATGTATGCTATGGTTTGTAGCAAGCCAGATTTATCTCATGCTGTCAGTGTGGTCAGTCGATACATGAGTAATTCTGGAAGGGAGCATTGGAATGCTATTAAGTGGATTTTCAGATATCTGAGCGGGATATCAGATCTCGAAATTATGTTCAGTAGGAAGAAAAGCTCTACAAAACTGGTGGGATATGTCGATTTCGACTATGCTAGTGATTTAGACAAGCGAAGGTCTACTACAAGTTATGTCTTCACTCTTCGACTTGAAATTGTTAAGTTTACTTTCAGAACTAACTCGCACCTCCTAATAGGTATCGTACTAGGTTTGCACCAATTATGTCCAGCCCACTTAACTCTTGTCTCTCTTATCTTAGCGCCAATTAGTATCACACTTAAAATTTTTTTCGAATGGATCCATTTCGAATTCTATCACTTCTTGTCTTGCTACTCTCTTTTAAGTTTTGATTGTTTCTATTATATTACTAAGTTTAATAACATGATCATTCTTTTATTATTGGCTTTCTGAATCTCAACACTCCACTACTAAGTTTCATTATCGAAATTTATTTTCCCTCTAGCTTCTCCTAAAACTTATTTTGCCACTTTAATATAGTCAACCAACTCATTCCACATAACATGGACCTCATATTCAAAGCTTCATTTTCTTTCTTTAACTAATTTATCTTTAAATAAATCTATTTTTTTATTTTTTCAATTCCACGACCTAGTTCTTGAACCCATATTAATTTCACCCTTTCTCTTCCATCTCTATGCATACGTCAATTACTATGAGTTTATGTTGTGGAGTCAAACTTTCTCTTAGAACAAATATGGAAAAATAAAGTGCATAAAATCGGAAATAATAGTTATTTATGTTAATTTTACTAATAGGAGAATTTACTAATGTTGTGATGTAGTAATACCATTTATCCACTTGCAAAGTTAACATACATTTTAAAAGCACCAAAATTTGTAATTAAAAAATATTGGGAAATAAAAAACTAAAGCTTAATATATAAGACTTGGAGAGAGGCATGCCACGTACAAAAAGGAGCAATCACTGATGTGATGATAATTCTAGAAAGAGAAACTAAATTAGAAAATTTATTATTTTTTAATTTTTATCTATTCCTACAAATTTTTTAAAGAGAAATGATCTTTATGTATTTGCAATTCATAGGTTTAAGGTGATTTTAGCCCTTGACCGTTGGATAATGATGCTTATGTATTTCCAATGCATAGATTTGAGGTTTATCTTTCGTCCGTCCGTTGGATGCAATTTCTATAAGATCTAGGCTTTATGTAAACAAAGCAAAGACTCACTTAAATCCTTTTGAGCATCAAAAATCTCTTCTATGGCTCTAAAATCAATTTCCAACATTGACTATGAAATTTGAAGCTAAAAACCTAATACAGCTATTGATAACGTGAACACATATTTTTAAGGCAAAATGGATGGTCTAGATAATGTGCTACTACAACATACTATGTTTAGAGCTCGAAATCCTAATATTTTTTTTCACATCTATAATGGTCATGGGCAAGATGATCGATCTGAAGGTTTTCTCACATAACCACAATTTTTAGTGAGGTTTTACTTATTTTATTGGTGTTGCCGCCAGTGTTCACAAAACCGGACGATCTAACCACTAGCTGTTCGGTTAGATCAGAACTGGCCACTGACCGGTTTCGGTTTTGGGCGGTTTTGGTGATGAACTGGTATTTAAAAAAATAATAATTCAAAAAATGTATATAAATTCTTAAAAATAAGGAATTTGATTTGGAATACATTTTTTAAATATTCTTTACACTACGGTAAAGATTAAAAATTGTTTTGGTCATTAATACTCACTTTTTATATTTTTCCATCTTTTTAAAAAATTTAAAAAATACCCCTAATCACAAATCGATTCGTTAAAATCCATTTTTTTCATTAATTTTGAGCTTCATTTGAATGTATTTTGTTTTAATCATTCTTTATATGATTTTCATATTTTAGTAGATTTCGTTTGTATTTTTTTTTTTCAACACTTTTTTTGTCGCCCGAGACTTGCACTGTTATAGTGGTTGAATCGGCTAGTTTACCGGTTAGGCCGGTTAAACCGCTTCCAAGCCTATGTCAGGTTAACCGTTCTAGTGGTTGAATCGGCTAGTTTACCGGTTAGGCCGGTTAAACCGCTTCCAAGCCTATGTCAGGTTAACCGTTCTGGTTCGCTTTTGCTAACACTGGCTGCCGCATTATCAAAACATTTTCCTTTCCAAATTACCATCTAAGATACTGGGATTGCAACTCGCTTTTTCTTTCTTTCATCCATCTCTCTCTCAATGTGCCAATTATAATAAATACGGTCGCTAAAGACCCTCTCCCTCTCAATGTGCCAATTGTAATCAATACGGTTGCTAAAGACCCTCTCCCTAGGGAGCTGGGAATCCACAGTAATCACAGCGATGAGGAGCATAAGAACCCACCAGTAATTATAGGCAGGCAAAACAAAGTGAAAAAGTGAGCGCGCCTACTCAAATGACATACGATTTCATTAGTGAAACTTAGGATGATGATATGGGGTTAAGGAAATAATCCAAACAAAACCCTTTGTTATTTATTTTTCAAGGAAAAACCTTGACGCTTCGGATGACAAAAAGGCTGAAAACTATGAAATTCGTTTTGTAATATTGAGGTTTTGGGGATTCCTCAAAAAACAGCATAAGAATGCTTTCCCCAATCATATGAGAACTTGAATAAAGAAATAAAAGAAGAAAAAAATTCCAAGAAATCCTTATCCTAGTGCGCACACCCGAAATAAAGAAATTGCATCCAAGAACAAGCGATCCGACTGTAATAATAAACATCGAGTTGGGATCTCAGCCCCTGTATTTCAGCCATCTTCCCATTAGAAAACTATTCACTTGAAAAGAAAAGCGTTCCTTTTTATCTGCATAAATAGTTCTCGGCAACCATGTGAATTTCGATTAATGAATAAAGAATCGAGTGAGGCATTGCTTGATCCCTAACCATTCCTCTGTATGTAATGTGTATAAATGCTAGTACTCGTAGATCTTGACCAATCATGTTTCCAGAGATGCATATTTTTATTAAGAATAAAAGATACATAAATCATCTCTGATATAGAACTATGCTCTTCTCCACATTGGGAACTGTAATCCTTCCCTTCTAATGTCGGCCCCAATACCTTCAGAAGTTCAGATTGGTGGAAGTCACTACGTGGTTCGAATGGCAACTGCTTAAATAGTGTACATGTTTGCATTTCCATCAAGGAATCAGATATGAGTTCCTCTCTTTATGTGCTGCAAAACGAATGCCAGTTAATTAATAAAAAAAAAAAAAAGAGATTTGAGACCAAACTTCCCCATGATACCCATCCATTTTTTACAATCCAACAGTGGCTTTGTAGACTTGCTTCAAAGCATTTGAAATGTCTTCAGCTGTCTGCCCTCCATTAGTGCAGACCACCAATGGACTCTCTTCAGGGACCATATCACCTCTCTGATAGCTCCCTAACGTCCTCAACAACTCCTCTGAACCTTTCTTAACCAAATCCTTGAGAATAAGTGTCTTGTGAGACCCTGATACCAGCTCCTCATAGTCTGTATCACCTGTCTCACCAAGGACGACATACATGTTGGCCACGTTCAAACCCCAGCGAACGAATAGGTATCTGAGAATCATCAAAATTTCAAAATTAGAGCTTAATTTAATCATTCTTTGATAACTCAGAGCAGTGTTCTTAAACTTAGCTCGGGCTCAAGACTAAGCCCTTGCCCAAGCCAATGGGTTCCATGCAGAACTTGCCCAAGCCAATGGGTGCCAAACTCAGTGACTTTTCTAGAAAACTATGACCGGCTAATGGGTGCCATGCAGAAACTTCAAAATTGTGTGCAGAATCACAAGATTTTGGTGTTTTAGCTGTTAAAACAGCCATAGTCGTGCATTGTAGATGATGTGAGATATGGGTTTCTTCTCATGATTGTTATTATTGGGATCTTGGCAATAGTTGAAAGAAATGACTAATGTTAAGTCCTACAATGATCATGAGATAAAGAATTTATAGGTTCCTTCTCATCTCCAGTCCAGCTATTGAAAAGGAATTTACTGTAACAAATTTATGTTTATAATTTTGAAAATTTTCATTTAAAAAAATTTGTGTCCCTGTCACTCGTTCTTTTTGAAATAGACTATTATTAATTTGATTTTAGCTCATACCTTATTGCTTGTGACCGAGAAGCTAGTAGAGGAATGGCTTGTAATCGTGTAGAGTTCCTGCAATACATTAGATGGCATCGCAATCCACGCATCCTCAGCTTTTGCCTTAGGTCATCCACTTTCCTTGCCTGAAATTTCATCTCCATCATTCATTATCAAACACCAAGAAACAAATCTTGCTTCAAGACTACTGCACAAAAGGAAATCTGTAGTTTTACCTTAGTGGAGTCCTTGATAAAATACGAAACACAGTGGCTATTGCATGAAGCCTTGTCTTCCTGAATGATGCTCTCATCTTTCCCTTCAGATGAGCTCATCAATTTCGAAATGGTTTTCTTTAGACCATCGCACCCCCATCGATAGTCAATATGAGAAGCATAATCAGGATCAGCACAAAGCCTTCCTTCTTCATCCATGCATTGATAAGTACCCGGATAATATACTTCACTCCCACTGCTACATATCAAAGCATCAAACTCCGTGACCTGAATCTTTCCTGATTCCAATAGCTTCAGTATTTCTGAAACTGGCATTGCAGTTGATAAAGCAAAGCCTGAGAACCTAGCAGCTGAAGGGTCTGTTCTCACCGCCTTGAATGTCTCCTGAATAACCTGAAGCATTTTTGACTCCGGTTTCCCATGATCATCATAGCAATCCAAGGCTATAACAAACAACTTCCGCCTCCTCCATAGAACGGGATACTTATTCATTGTGTTCTCTCCCTGTTTCTTCCCTGCTTCTGCACCCAGGGTGGCAGCTGAAGGTTTCTTTAGCCTACTTAAAACCCGCTTAACCTGGTCACTAACCTCCTTATCACCCTTCAAGGCGACCATCTTTTCCAGTTCAGCTGGGTCATTCTCCAAAGAACCATTGACAGAAATTTTATCTCCATCTACCGATAGTCTAAGAGACATGTCATGAACATCCTTTAGTGAGTCACCCATTGATTCCTCAACCACTGTATCATCGACTGGGGTGTCGGTCTTCCACTGTGGGTGTCTCATCCTGCATGCAGCCACTCTAGATAGGTATGTCCTACAATGCTCTGGCCATGAGAATAGGTGAATATTTTTCCATCCATTCCATCTGCACTCATGCCATAGGTTCTTCTCAGCAACTAGCTTTAGTAATGCATCAGCGATGGCTTTCTCATCATGAGGATCCACTAGAAGTCCGTTGTTTAGCGCCTAAACCATACAAAGTAGAATGTGAAATCCTCCTATTTTGTGATGAAGAAATGAAAATTTGTAAGAAATACTTTGATGTTATGAGTTAGTACCCGATGAATGTCAACTGGGCCACCATTCTTAGTGGCCACCATTGGCAGTCCATGTGCAGCAGCCTGCAAAATTTCAGACCAGTAAGCTTAAAATCAGAACACCCTAGAGAAATAAGAGATAAATACAAGTGACCTTTGAAGTCAAGTCACCTCGATTAGAGTTAGTCCAAATGGCTCAACCAAAGCTGGATTTATGAAGACACCCTACACAAGAGGCAATATTTAGTCCCTTCATTAGGGTTTGATACTCCATAACCACTTAAAGAAAACAAGTAATGATTTTTACCCTTGTTTTGCCAGCAAGGCGGTATATATCTGGAACATCAGCTTGCTTATGATGCTTTGGATAGGCTACCAACCCATATAAGTCATACTTGTCAATCATCTTCAGAACTGTAGTGAGGACACTAGCATTTCCTGATGACATCTTGTCTATGTCATCCCTGTTGCCCATTATGAGTGTCTGTTCCCAAACATTAGCCAAAGGCAAGTATTAATCACCATTTTACAGAAAAATCTAGTAATTGGTAATATATTAAGAATATCTTACCAAATTTGCAAGATCCCTCAATGGTCGACATTCTCCAAACGCTTTCAAGAGTGTGGTTATGTTCTTTTTAGGGTCCGGCCTTGCCAGTGCCAGGATCATTGGCTTGTGAGGATTTGTCAGGAAGCGCATTACCTATATGTGCACTCTTGATTAACACACAGACAATAGGAATGCTGTGGAAAGGATATCTTATATTATCAAGTAATTACCTCAGACCATATGGGTGGAATTGCCTTTGGGGAGGTCCCATCAGTTCCTATCAGAGCAGCCAGTTCTCCATCAGTTTCAGATGGGTCTTGCTCTTGAATCACACTGCTGAAATCCATACCTGGAGGAATTACCTAGAAACAATTTCTTCCATTTGAGTTGTTCTCTTAGTAGAAACATAATTAATAGGTGGTAGTTTGAGAAACATCAAAATATGACATGTTCAAAGCCTTGGGATTTAGATTTTAAGAGAATCAAAGCTTAGTGAACCCTGATCTCAATCTATGTTTGTGCGCATACAACACAAGTCCACATGTTATAAACTTATAATAACTCTATACATGCACAAAACATGAACTTGCAAAATCAGGGCTTTATAATCAGGGAAGTACACATTAATCCTATGGGCTATGCAACCATAGTCCAAATGAGGTAACCAACATTGAGTGAATAAGCATCAGAATAGAATATGACCTCAGTGGCGAGTCCCACTCTCCCTCCATCAACACCCATGATTTCTTTGGATGGTGATGGCCCCTTTGAACTACAGTTTTATATAGTCCATTGAACTTTAATTGTAGTTTTTGATTTTTAATGAAAGATTGTTATAGTCATTGCTACACAAGGTTGTTAAAGTCAGTGCAACTCACCACCATCCGAGGCATATAGCGGCCATGGCAATTAACCCCCCTTCTTGCGCGAGCCCTCAACACCTTTTCAAGCTTGACATCAAAACCATCATAGAGGCCCCACTGCTCCTCAATTTCCTGCTTAGTGCTCGTTATAACTAGTTCCGCTGCATCTAGAGATAATTCTTCAGCTTCTATCCTCCTCATTATCTTATATGTCGCATTGATGTCCTCTTTCGATTGCCTTCCTTGCTTTAGAAGCTGTTCAAGCTTATTCCTCCCTAATGAATGCCCTGTTAGAACCATTGGAACATTTAGGGCACCCGAAAGGAGTGCAGCACTATCACCTGCATCCGCATAGTGGCCATGAATCACATAGGGCCAAACTGGCTGGCCCCCACCAATCTGTTCGCCCAAAACCTTGGACATGTTAAGTATATGGGCGAGGGCTCCATCAACGAATTCTTGAACATAAGGCCATAAAGACTCTTTCCTTAGATACTTGTCCCTTGGGCCACATGGTATGCGTATAATATAAGCCCCACTGCTCTCTCCCACATCACGGCCATCACGATGCCCATATGATCCTGAGGTTAACATCTCTGTCGGTTCTCCATAACTCCAATCCACTTCGGGTGATGATATTTGGCGAGTAAAGAGGTCCACCCTGTATACCCCTGGCATCATGGATAATGCCCTAGAAAGCTCAACAACGTACTTGACCTAATGATTTGCATTTAAATTGTGATTATTAGTATGGTACCTTGATCCTCTAAAGGCTAAATTATATTGTGATGTAAGAAGGGAAAATGTGTTGTTTTTACCTGACCACCTGTATCTGAATCACGGCCCAACTCCATGTTGTCCCCACGCACCAGTCCATGCAAACTAATTTATAGAACAAATGAGAAATAGGATTTTAGCATGGCAACATTTGGAAGAAAAGCATGGAGGAACTAACTGTTTAAGTTCACCATGATCAATAATTACAATGTATGACATTCACACTGAATCCATTATTATTGCCCTTCATTGCCTCCAATTTGAGAGAAGTTTTTCACTGAACTAGTTAAGCCATTATTACTATTCAAGAGAGAAGGCCAGGAAGAAAAGTGCGCAATTGATAGGAAACCCACATTCTTAACTTTGCAAGCCGTAATTACTTAGCAAACCAAACCATGGAAACTATATGCTTCTTTTCCATTAATTCATAAAAATGAGATAATAGAAAAAAGAATAAGAAGTATGAGTTTACAGAGACACACCTGATTAGGACAATATAGAGGCGCTTCGCCTTGTCATCATCAGACCAGACTTGGAGGTCAGAGAAGTTCCTTTGTAACTTCCTCCTGGGGGTCTCACTCTGAACCATCTCCCCCATCACATCCCCTTTCTCACCTTCTGATAAGTCCTCTGACATATCCTCTGTTGCATCCCTTCGGCCCTGTTCTCTCTCTGACCTCCGGTTTGCCAACCTTTGGCTATCCTCCCCTTCCAACTGCTCAAATCAATTTGTTGTCATGGTCAATTCAAAATGAGCATTACAGATGTAGACGCTCGGTTTTCCTTTAACCCATCAGTAATCTTTCTAATCTTTAGATATTTTAACCATTTTTATTAAAATAAGGTAGTTTCCAATAATACACCCATTGCAGGGACCCAATTCTTAGACATTCACTCTTCTATTTGTTTTTACATCATGGGAACCGATTCCCTTCATCAAGTTCATTTTTTCCATTACTTGAACTGGTATTTGCATAAACAGATCTTTCCTCTTAAACAAAACATCTATAGACATCCAGCCCTATCCATTTACAAAGACAAAGGTTCCACAATTAATTAACAAAATGCATCAGAACAGGAAAAGAGAAAGAAAGCAGAAGTTTAAAGAGGGACTAGAATGCAGAGTAAATGAACCAAGTATGAGTGTTTGTTCTTGCCTGTTTCTTCTTGCGAGCGAGGTGCCAGATACGCCAGCACATGTTCTCCAGCCGGGTGCTGCGCTCTCGCGTGTTGCGAGTGGCCACCACCTTGAGCCATGTGCGGTGGAGGTCGGTCTCGTCCACCCCAGTGACCACCTCCTCCACAAAGTATTTGGTGGGGTTGAAGTGGCTGCCATGATCGTTAAGGTTCACCGCCTTGTTGTCTTCGACACCCCCTGCACCAGTGTCTAAAATTGCCTCCAAATACCCATTGATCCATTCATTCCCCGCCATCTTCTCTCCCCAACTATAACTAGTAAGTAATTAATCAACTCAGAAATTGTTTTACAATAGATTACAGTAAACTCAGATGCATAAACTCCTGTATTTTCTTTACTTCTTCTCTTAATACAAACCTTAACAGCATAAAAAAGAAGAAGAGAGAGATGGAATTCAAAAAGACAAAGTAGTAAAAGGGGGATTTTGGATTAAGGAATGGTATTCGTGATAAAAGTTATAACATCTTATATAAGAATTGAATATTGTTGTGAGAGAGATAGATAGAGATAGTTTGCAGTTATGAGAAAGAGGACTGCTGAAAAAGAAGACGAGGAAGATAAGATGATTTATATGTTATTTAATGCTAATAGTGCATGGAAAGCACGTGCCTTCCATGCAATTTTCAGTTGGAATCAATTTTTAATTATCATTTCTTCCGCATCTTCCGTCGCAGCAATCCTGATCCACATAACTACAAAATCTCTCTCTCTCTAACAACAATATTCTCAATTATCGAATAAGACATCGATCAACCCCTCTCCAATATCCAATATCAGAATTTGGTCGAGATCCCCTGATTCGTCACACAACTCAGACAATTTATTTAAAAAAAAGAAGTAAAAAATAAAGTTATTTTACACAATTGTTTCTTGCATGATTTAAATGTATTTAGTAAATATTGGTGAGTGTTTTTAATCGCATGTTTAGATTTTCTTTTTGTCAGAATTTTTCAAAATTATACAAATGTAATTTGGGTTTTTAAACCCATGTTTTCTCTATTTTTTTTTTTTTTTATAGGTCAGCCAGGGGCGAGTTACTTGGCCAGGGCGAGTTTCGGTATTCTGGTACGTATGACTTTCATCACAATTACTATTCCTTAATCCTCCAAAAACGTCCTATCTATTACTCTCTTGTTGAAATTTCTGTCTTTTTTGCAATAAAGTGGCACAGGAAGGAAAAACAATAAAGAAATAAATCATAACAAATATTATTCCTTAATCCAAAAACCTCCTATTTATTACTCTGTTTTTGAATTTTCTCTCTTTTCGCAATAAAGCGGCACAGGAGAGACAAAGAAATAAGAATTCACAGAAACTCTAGAGTGCATACCTTCAATGGCGGTAGAAATCGGCTCCTATGTGCGACTCCTCTGCTGATCCAGGAAGGGATTTTGTGTGCTTCAATTTGAATTTATTGAAAATTGAAATACGGTGGCCAATGGGAAATAAGAGAGCAGGGGGAAAGGAGAAGATGCCGAAGTTTTTTTCAACTTGCAGAGAGATAATGGTGGAGATTGTAGAGAGATAAAGACCGGAACAGAGAGAGTGGCTGATGGGCTTGCACGCAGAGAATGGCGGAGATTTTAGAGAGAGAAAATCGGGGGCAAAGAGAATAGGAGAGAGGTTTCCACATGGATAGAATGTGGTTGCGATTTTAGAGAGATTAATGGTGATAGATAATGGAAGGACGAGAGAGAATGCCGGAGAGATAAACGGATCAGATAAAAGCTGGGAATGGGGGAGGTTATCTGCTGTTCTTACGGGAGCGCGAAGGGGAGGCAAAAATGGAGGGAGACGGAAAAAATAGGCCAAAACATTGTATACTCTCACGAGAGTTTACTGTCTTTTTACTCCCGCAGCCAAACTCCATTATAGGATCTCAGATTTTGGGGATGCAACCTCTTTTAAAATTTTGTTTTCTCTCTATGCTCTTAAAAAGAATTGGTGTATTATTGCATAGAGATCGTCTAATTTTTGTAAAGTGCAATCTAAGTGGTAATGAACTCAATAATTAATTTTATTTTTTAGAACTAATCATGCAGTAGTGATTCCCAAATAGTTCACAAAATTTTAGATTGACGAAGCCCTTCCAGGTCTACTGACTGAGGGGGTAGGTCTACATTGTACTCCTGCAGGCGCACAATATAAATAGATACGTACGTAGTGAGGAGAAAGAAGGAAAAGAGAAGGAGAGATAGAGAGAGAGAGGGGAATTTCGAATGGTTAGATACAAATCTTTTCTTGATTTTATCATGAAATTAATGGAGATATATTTGTCATAATTTACGATCAGGTGTCTTTCCCGAAATATGAATTTATCAAGGAGTAGGAGAAAGCCACATCACGTATCAAACAATAAATAAACGTAAAGTAGATTCGAACTCCATTTCACTATAACTTTGGCAACAATATTATAAGCTCTCAAAAGGGAGGAGGGAATGTTCTTTTTCATATTTCTTATAAGGAAAAAGTTTATATAGAGCTGAGGCTCTAAACAATCAAATTAGAGTCCACCTCAAAATTTCACTAGAAGAGTTGTTTTCATGCCCAAATACCTTCAAAATGATAATCTCGATATCAAGATGCATGGACATGAGAAAAAAATGGATTACAAATTTTAGAAAATAGTATATCTTGCAACGTATTTTTTGACCGTCAATTTTCAAGATTTTTAAATTTTCATAGATGTGCTCGATCTACACTATCTTTTAAACTTAAAATTCTATAATTAGATATGAAAATATATTTTAAGGCTATCATAAAAATTCTCAGCATTGAGACACTATTTGAAAGTGCACTGTACTCTATTTTGATTGTTTAGAGCCTTGGCTCTATACAAACCACACCCTTTTAATATTTCATATGACATATATTATATGGTAAAATGGAAACGAAATATGGAGACAGCACCAGTTATTGTCACGTAAAAATGGGTCCCAAAGATCACATGCTTCAGTGGCACGTGTCAAGAGATAGTAGGACCCCCATACTATTAGGTTTGCAACCGAACACTTGTCATGGACAAAGGGGGTTGTGTTTCTTGTTTTTCCTAGAAAATATTTTGGCTTTTTCTAATAAATCTTGAAAACAAATTGTTTTTGGTGGTGATGGGTCATGTGTGTGGATGCAGCTCTCCCTTAACCACCCTCAACCGATCTCTATCTGGTTTTTTTAGAGAGAGAGAGAGAGAGAGGTTAGTTGAGTTGGCAAATCGCAAGTTGTGTCTTGGTTTCCTTAAATGGCAGGGTAGCCTCTTTTGGATAGTTGCACGGGTGCGGTTCCCTATGCTTTTGCGAGTTTCATGGTTTAGGTGGGATCCACTTTTGCTCAAGGAAGTGGTCCCTAAGATACTCTCTCTCTCTCTCTTTTTAATGACCCCGTTTGTACGTGGCCAAGCCGATGGATTTTAAGACTTAAATTTTTGAAAACCTATAATATATAGCATGAAGATCGAATAAATAAATAATTTTTTAAAATAAAAAATAACAATTCTAGCAATCAAACATTTGCACCGATGGTTTAAAAAACGGATCGGTGACCCGGATCGGGCTTCCAAAAAATCGATTCGGATCGGTAAA